CGTGTGCCATAATAACATTGTCACCAAAAAATCGTTTGGGAATGAAGGCATTTTGGAAAGGGGATATTAGGGTATTCAAAATCGGGCGAAGGCGATTAACCAAAATGTTAGAACTAATCTTATACATTACGTTACAGAGGCTTATGGGCCGGAAATGGTTGATGAGATGTGGGTTGTTATTTTTAGGAATAAAGATGACCCGAGTGTTGTTAAGGTAATGTGGCATGTTATTAGTTAGAAAGAAATGCTGGATACTATCGGTAACAGATACCTTTAGAATATCCCAGTATGTTTTGAATAAATGGCCATTTAGTCCATCGGGACCCGGCGCTTTGTCCGATCCAATTCGGTTTAAGGCGAGCCAAATTTCACTATCGGACACAGTATTTATCAAAGAATTGTGGGTGGTAGTGGGAATTCTTGGACAATCAAGGTCACAAAAGGTATGTGTGCGAGGATTATTAGAAGTGCAGAGATTGGAAAAGAAAGTAACAAGCTAGGTTTGAATCTCTTTTAGGTCATTAATCCAATTTTCGGATTCAGTTTTTAGACTTTGGACCATATTGCGTCGTTTCCTATTTGATGCAAAAGCATGAAAAAATTTCGTATTATTATCTCCAATTACTACCCAATTAAGATTAATAAAATTAGCAGTTTGTATGAGTTCATGTCAAACCTGAGGTTGCAAGTGAGTCTGTGGATAATTGTACATGGCCGTCAGCAGGAAAGGAGGAGTTCCCGGGTTGAGGGTAGCAACTGCATGTATCATACGATTCGATACTCGTGTTTGTGTGAGGGTAATTTGGGCAGCATTCCAAAGCATCCAGATGCCGCCTGCATAGCCAACAACATAAACTATAGTGTTGTCAGTGAAATTAAAACGTTGAATAATCGTGGCAGAACGTTCGGGGTGATCCTAGTGTCCATCACAATGAACATGTGAGGATTATGACGAGCGATTAAGTTTGGGGCAGCTAGATAAAAATCTGGGCAGTGAGCCCCCCTACAGTTCCACGTAAGAATCTTCATTTGATTTTAATGTGGTAGGAAGGTGGAGGGCCCAATGCCATTTTGGGTGGGTAGGTGCTGATTCACACCGTCGTTTTGGTACACTGATGTAGTCCGGGGTGAGGGGTGCTCGTTTGATTGATTGAGAGGGCGAAGGGTCATTTTGAAGTGAAATACCCTCCCCGGATGCATGACTTGATCTCTCTCTTGAGCAACCTCTAAAAGAAGGCGATTGCTGAAAGGGGCGCTTGTGAAAAAGTGAGGCGTAGTGTGCAAAGTCGGAAACAGGTATTCGGTTGGGCTGAGGATGATCAGACGATTGTGATGGTCCATGTAAGGTGACGTTATGTTTCCTATGGTACTTGGTGAAAGGAAATTTGGGCGGCGAGGTGTCCTTGGTGGTGGAAGTGAATTCAAAAACCGGGCCAAACCCCGGTGGGTAGGGGGGTCATCGGAGGGTCGGGTGTATGGGATGGGGGGGTCAAGTGGCCATTTGGGAGGGCTGGTATGACAGATGGAAGTTGAATTCCGAATTATATGCTACTATGCCATGAAATTAATAACACCCCTCCCTCTGCGATTAATTTTATAGGGATGACTAAAACAATATAAATTGATCCTTAAAATAATAATTTAATTTTATTAAATAAAAAACTTTATAGTCAATTTATGTATAATAACAGAATTTAACAAATTTAATACAACATATAATCCAAAGAACCAAACATATTATTAACTAATTAATTAGTTAACCATTAAGAAATTAATTCTATCTAATCTAATCCGATCTAATCCAATATAGGTAAACAAACGAGGCCTAAATGTAACATATTACGATAAATTAAGTTGAAAGCTGATTTCACAATAATTTTATTAAACGAACTATTTATTAAGTAGTATTTACTTGTAAGATGACAATTTTGCTGAAGGACTGTAACTATTTAGGTGGTGGAGTAAGGGTTTGGATCACGGGCCCAATTCATCATAGCAGGCCCATCGTTGTATCTAATCTTATTGGGTCCCTAAATAATATTTTATTTTTCACGGCCAGCTTGCTGAAGTAAGGTTAAATTACGAAGATACTCCTCTTGTTTGGGTAATTACATTTATCCCCTCAACTATGAATCTTGTTAGCGTTCATCCTTATGGTATCAAATTCAATAGAATCCTTTAGGTTTCGTGGAATGTTTTTTAGTTTGTACTCGTTTTGTTCAAAAATGCAGTTTAATTCTCTGATTCACCACAATATGATGTTTACTAGGGGTGAGCATAAAAACCGATAAACCGAAAAACCGAACCGAAAACCGAAAAAATCGAGCCGATATACACCGTCCCGACTTAAAACCGCATACACGGTAAATATTTTTTGAAAAACCGAAAGAATCGGTATGTGTATGGAGAAAAAAAATTTTACCGAACCGATTTACCGAACCGAACCGATTTGGGAATACAAAACTACGTCGTTTGATAGATAGTAAAAATTGGTAAGTTTTTTTGGTAATCAATGTGGCCACATTCATACTTATTCTTTTGATGTAGTTGGACTTCTTTTGTGATTGGGCAACAAGTTTATTTTTTTGAAGATAGACATTAATGACATCATGTTTATTAGTTAATCTCATTACGTTTTTTTATGGCAGCAAAGTTTTTTTTTTGTTTAATGGCATTAAATTTGTTTTATTAGTTAATTTTGGATTGTTACTTGTTAATTTTCTCAAAGAAATGTGATAGAAATCCAAAAGAAAATGCTATTTGCGGTCACAAAATTGCTATTCGCGGTTTCTAACAAAACCCCCCAAAACTTTTAAAAATATCAAAAAACCCCCCAAAACTGCAAATAGCAAAAAAAAAAGAAAAAAAAGTTCGAAAATTCGAAATCAAGCTTGAAGAAGGGTTGGGCTTCGATTTTTTGATGTAATTTCGACTCTTTTATGTGTAATATGCATTGGGTAGGTCGATTACGGAACCAATTTCATGTAAAAAGCCCTACAAATCGATTTGTAGGGCTTTTTTTT